CCCAGGGGCTGTGCCTAGGTTGAAAAGAGTTAATGGGTACTCTAGACACTGTTTGATATTGTTATTTGGGTATGGTGGCCACAAAATTCTGATATTGTTATGCTTCATGTTTAAAATATTGTAGCATTTTCCTACAATAGGACTTCCATGGAGGGTGGGAACAGAATTCACTGAAGTTTATCCTTTTTGTTTTTTTAACAATAATAAAATTAACCAGCAAACCACCATTTAAGGATAATTCCGTATGTGAACAAACACTGCTTCTACAATTCCTGTACCTCGGTTTTTCGTTGTACATTTTCTATCAGGTACCTCACTTTCCAAAATGTCTTCTGGTCATTTAAGGTGGACCTGCTTCTTCATTCTAGAACAAATTCCATGGAGGTTGCTACTTCTGACATATAAAAAGCTAGAAAAGATTTTTAAAAATCAAAATTACATAAAGCTCTCCATCTGTGTCTTCTAGACCATAATAACAAGTACGAGTTGATTCAGAATAATAACGTGTCAAGTGAATTGTTTCTTACCCATTGTACTCTAAGTCATGCCTGAAATGGAGTGACAAGAAAGTTGTTCAGATATACTAAACTAAAACTATCTCGTAACCTGAGGCAAGGAAGATGGTGACATCTATTCCAAAGTTTCTTTCTAAACTGTTTCATTTTACACTCAGTCTACAATAGGATTGCAAAAAAAAAACACTTTCTCCAATCATCTCATTGAACCATGGACAAATAGATGTCCACAGTGTGCAAGACCCTCATTTAGTCTCACTGTCACTCTCTGGAATTCTGGTCATCTAATATGGACCTGCTTCTTCACTCTGGAGCAAATTTCATTGAGATTACTACTTTTGACATAGAAAAAGGTAGAAAAGATGTTTTGTAAATCAAAACTGCATAAAGGTTGTCCATCTGTATCTTCTAGGAATTCTAGATTTCTGTTTCTAAGATTTTTCTCATTGACAATAAGGCAATTTAAAGTAAAGAGCATAAAGACAATGAACATCCTCCATGCTTTCACTTCCAAGTTTTGCAGTACCCTCACTTGATCTAAACTAGACTATGGATCTTGTCCAGAGAATCTATATTGAAGATACTGGACCTTGTGCATCATCAGGAGCTATGGCTTGCATGAGTTGTGCTTTCTACACTTCTTCAGTCCAGAGTTTGTACACAGTTCTATGGTGTTCCACTTTACATTCAACATTTGTGGCTTTCTTTGCAGTTTGTTGCAAAACTACAAGTCCTACCACATCATCTCACTTGACAAGTGTTTTTGTGCCTCAGTGGGCTGTGCTATTTACAAATAACATAGTCAGATACTTTTGGCCTTCATATCTAAGCACTACATGGGTCTGACAGTGTGTGAAGTTGCTGAATCCAATGATAAGCTTATTCTTCCATGATCTATTACCATCCCCACTTTGATCTTTCCCTGAGTCACCTGACTGAATGCATTTCAAGCCCCTTTCATATCAGTACTTACTGACGTTTTGAAGTTAGATGAGTCTGACTTCTGTACTCGCAAAGATGTTGCACGAAATGTTACTTGTTTTAGATTACATCAGTGCTAAGCAGCAGAGGCGTCAGTAGGTGCTGGCACATGAGACCCATTCCTTGAATCCCCATTTGGTGTCTTGAAAAATCAGACTAGAAAACCATGATCAATATAATATTGAAATGCTGAAAATTCCTTTGCCTATAGGACTGAGTGCCAAATCTTTTAAGTACCTAGCAATGCTTTTTCTAAGCAGCACTGTACAGATTCACTTAGCTCATTGAAGTCCCTTTAGCTTTTTTTCTTAGAAATTCACAAACAACTGGCAAGTATCTTTATTATCTTTTATTTGTTCAGTTTTCTTAGTCGTATGTACTTTGGAAAAATGAAATGGCTGACTCTGCAGCCAGATTGGTCTAAACTGGCAGTATGAAGCCTGCCATAAGGACAGGACTTTGTGCCAGATTTCAGGCATTTTCCACATCAATCTTACATCAGTTACTGAACATCTAATTTGTGAAGAGATCATAAAAAGAAATTTGTTTTAAGATTAACATTCAGCATAGTTTTGTTATAAATCATATTCTCCTGCAAGAGACCAACCTTTCAATTTGGGAACAATTTGACATACTGGGCACTATTATCCACATATTACTTGCATATCATTGCTATGACGTTCAGCAATGGCATGTTCTTAGACAAGTTTTAACTCATTATCTTTTTGACATTGGCCAGTGTCTTTAAGTCTATACACGTTCCAGATTGATAACAATTTTAGTTATTTAATAACTCGTAGATCTTTTTAATTATGATTACTTTAACTTTACTTAAAAAACATGCCTTTTGTCTTTTACACACTAGTGTTTTGCTATTAGTTGCTTTTGTTTTATTATTGTTCTAAAAATAAATTTGTTTGGTGCACATAGCCAGTGTAGCTTTGTGCCAAAATCTCTTAAAAAAACAAAACAAAGTCATTGCACAGACCACTAGTTCTGGTTTGAATGAAGAAACTCCAAATTCAGCAGTGATTTTACTATGAAAAATAATTATTAACTTCATCAGAGGAAAATTGTTTTTTGTTTAATTAGTCTTCCATTATTCTTCCAATCATTCTGAGTAAGTATAGATTCAGGATTCAGTAGTTTTATGTGAGATATTAAGCCTTTTAAATCCTAAATGCACAGATGGCAGTAAAATTAAAAGATGTAATTATCAATAAGTTTTCCTTTAATGATTGAAAAGTTTACAAGGTCAGTCACTTTCTCTAATGACTTAGTTGGTAGTTTTTTTGTTCTGCTGTTTTTATCTCCTTCCTGTTTTATTCTTTATAGATGCGTATTCCAGTAGAGCACTTTTCTAACATTCCTGTGTATATGCTTAGTCCCACACCAAGTCCTCCTCCTGAAGAAGTTTCTTTTCGGAAATCTTTTTGGAAATTACCTGAAGCTCTTCATTTTAGTAGGTGAGTTATAAAGAATGGTCTAAGGATCAGTATTTTGTTAATATCCCCATCTGCTAAAATGTTCATGTTTTTACATGGATATCTATTTTTTATTTTAATAAAAGTTAACAATTATTAATGAAAAGTCATATAATTAAGGTTTACCTGGACGTTTTTAAGGTATTTAAGAGAACACCAGATGATAACCACAGATTGAAAAATTAACGATTTATCTTTTCTTTTTTTATGCCTGAATATGTATAGCACTGATGTTAAAACTGTAAAATTGGGTGTTAGTTGCAAGTTACTTAAATTCCACTATAACAAGGTAATTCCACTTTAAAAAGTTACTAATGGGGAAAAAAAATTGAGGTGTACTAAATATTTCTATCTACAATTACACAAAATTTGTAAATTTCAGTTTTAAATACACTGAAGAAAGGTTCATATTCAGAATAGGTTTTGGGTAATATAGTACATTTGTATAAAAATGTCAGTAAACTGAATTAACAAAAAAATCTTTGGTGGTAATAGTACCCGAGTGTAGTAGTTTTTCCAGAAAGCACTTTTGATCAAGTGGAATCTTTGCCCTTTTAACAAGTTTAATCTTGGTGGGCCATATTTGAATATATTTTTTTTAATCATACAAAAGCTAATTATTAGTTTTGTCCTGTAAAATATGATTGTAGCTAGTGGTGTGTATTGCCAGTAGTTTATTATATGGTTTGACAAGTGTGGAAAGTAATATGTACTAGATATGATGTTCACTGCATCACATTGTACTAATATTGATATGTATCTTTATTTTGATCAATATTGAATGGCAACACAATAGTTTAGGTGAGTTGCATTTCAAGATTGTAGACATGTTGGAAATGTATCTTTAGTTTGATTAAGATTAAACAGCAGGAAACTGGGTAAATTGATGTATAGTTATATTTTTGTCTAGGCAAAAACTACATAGTAGTATGTGTATCTTTAACTTAGCTATGGTTGAACAGTCATACACACACACATATTAATTTTCATCTCTGATTTGGCCAAGCAAAATTGTTGTTTTTGATGACAAAATAGACTTTAATGCATATCTTTCCAGTTGTCAGCATTATGTTTATATCCTAGGTTGACAAGTGGTTCAGCTCCTTCATCTCCAAACCCGAGTGCCAGAAAAGAAAATGTGCCACAGACAATTAGACCTTCCTCTGCAGGATCTCAACGAAGACTAAAGCATTCTGAATCAATTCACGTTCTTTGTGATGATGCTGAGAGGAAAAGAAGAGGGCGGAATGCTAAAAGAGTGCCACTGATGCACTCTAAGACAGTTACACAGAAATTAGAATCTCCAACAGAAGAGGAGATTCGGGGGCAGCTTATGAGGGTCTGCAGAGGTTGTAAAGGTATGGTGTGTCATATCATTCTTGCTAGCCGTAACACTGTCAGTACTCCAAAGAAAATGGGAAGAACTATACAGAATTTGCCACAACACAATAACGTCCTCTCATGTACCACTGCATGTCTTTCACCTGTTGAAGCAAGCCCTCCAAGTTCCCCAAAAGGACCTTTTGTAACAAATTTTCCCAATAGACTTGTTTAAAGCCATCTCTAATTATACAGTGAAAAATAACGTTAACTGTGAATGATGAGATGCAGCCATACTCCATGAATTGTACATTTATGTGTATATCAGAATTTTAAGACCACAGAAGTCTATCAAATAATTACATAAGAATTACAGTCTTTGACATTAGATGCTGTCTAAAGTTTTGGAAAAATGTATTTTTCCTTTTTGAATTATTTGTTATTCACAAAGAAAGGGTTTATATTTGTGAAGCTGGTCATTTCCTGGAATAATTTTCTTTATGGAGATAGTGTAATATGTTAAATATTAATTTGTCAAAATTTCAAGTGTTTGATTTAGAAACCATGTATTTCAGAATCTGTAAATTCACTTATTACTGTATTCATAGTGGTTTACTAACAAGAATTAAATTTATTATAACTTTTTTTTTCATGAATAAATGCAAAAAGAAAAATCAGTCTTGCACACTGCTTTAAGCCAAAATTTTTTTAACAAAATCAGTTATTACTTACTGCTAAAAATATATCTTTTGAAACATCCCACCAAGAAATAAGTACTAGGAATAGCACAATTACTAGAACTTTTAGTAACTATAGAGGATGTTGCTTTGACTTCACTTTATGTAAATACTGAAATATTGTTTAATTTGGTTTAGAATTTATTGTCTTGCTTAAATTTTCTTCTTCTTTTTAAGTGTTTTAGTTTTATGAGCTATCAGAATGTTATGACAAATAGTATGGCAGGATAAGTTAGTAAAAATTTTCAATATGGTTAATCATTTCACCAAATATTTCAAACTGTATGAATTTCAAATTTAAGTTATTCTTCTAAATCTACCAAGTATCAGTTGTTCAATAGCACCAACAAAAGTGTGTGAATGTGTGAAAACTAATTAAAAAAATGATCACTATAATGTAAAATCCTTTTGAGTTATTTAATTGCTGTGAAAATATTTTTTAATTCAAAATCTAAAGTAGACAGGTAGTTATCATTACTGTATTACATGTGATACATTATCATATATCTCAAAGAAAAAAAAAGTAACTATATCAAACACTGTTAAATTAATATAAAGAATTAAATGGTACTTGAGTAAAAACAAAATCTTACCACATTTTTACATTACTTGAGCAATGTTTCAATTTTTTATATTTTAAACTAGTTATATATAGAAAAATAATTCCAGACAGGCTAATTATTGTAGTTTTGCCACAATATTTAAATATCTAGAATTGATAATACTGCTGCATGGCCTACCCATAGTTGAAGTTTTACAATATTTACTTGATATGAGGTATTTATTTAATCCTCTTGCACACTTTTATGAAATTTAATGTGTAACTATTTCTTAGACTTATGCATACTGATTCTAGAGGGGAAAATGTTAGAGTTCAATTTTGATGTTTATGGATGAAAGTATGTGGCATATACTGTATCATATGTGAAACTTTGTTATTGACAGAAATTAGTAGTCTTCAACAGAATATACATGTTTATTAGTTGGTTACTGTTGATATATTACTTCAAATTGTTTGTTCATTTACCAAAAAATTATAAAGCACAGAAATCTTGTTTGCTATGCTCAGAGACTTGGAAATGTCATAATAGAACACTAAGGGCTTGATTCTAAAACTGCTATTATATGAGGTTATTAGGGTAAAGTTTTGATCTTGAAATCAGTTCTCTCCTTCTTAGTTACTTCAACGTTTGACATATTTCTTTCAGAAATCAGTTGAGATTATCTTAGTAATGTTAGAAAGAAATTTATTTACAATTAATAATTTTCTAAAACTGCTATTATATGAGGTTATTAGGGTAAAGTTTTGATCTTGAAATCAGTTCTCTCCTTCTTAGTTACTTCAACGTTTGACATATTTCTTTCAGAAATCAGTTGAGATTATCTTAGTAATGTTAGAAAGAGATTTATTTACAATTAATAATTTTCTTGCCTGTTTGTCAAAAACCGTACTTAAAATAGATTCAAATTCAATTCCACCATAATTAATCAAGAGATGTAAGTTTTTAGCAAACTAATCCGTGTGTATGGTATTCTGTATTACTTTACTTAGAAACTGTTATATCTTGTGGGCAACCACTCACTGTAAAGTTGAATTTTTGGGCTCCTATTGATGTAAGACTATTTAGTTTTTGAAAAAACACACATTTCTGAGTAAAATACAAGATTTACCTTTAGTTTCTAGACAACTGCAAAATGAAAATCTATCATTCAAAATACTTTATCTCTATCATCACTTAAGGTAGTCAGTGATGTATGCTTTAGTTGAAGGAAGTTCTATTAAATAAAACTAGAAAGTGGTTAAAAAAAACAATTTCATGAGATAATTAGGTAAACGAGGTTTTGTAAAACAAACTGGAGTAATTAAAATGCAATATTCAGTCATAGAATTGGGTGATTTTTATACTTGGAAAGAAAGCAACAATTGAACATTAGCATTAGAATTAATAACTGTACGGAACTTGCCCAAAAAATTCTTACGTACATCAAGATTGGACCTACAAAATTTCATATTTTCTTTTGAATTGAGATTTAGCTATTTTAAAGATTTTTGCTTCACAACTTAAGTGAGTGGAAATTCAAAAAACTACATAATTATTTAAGAAAGTTATAGAGCTTTATTACTTTCAACTAATTTTTGTTTTTCAAAAAATAACAGTAAAGAAATACATTGTTAATTAAAATTAAGGCGAAAAATGTTTTTGTGGTTGAAAACATTATCATTTGAATATTCTTTACAGAAGTCTAAAAATCAGTATAGCATTAGTTTTTTTTAGATGAATATTTATGAAGAAAACAAGTTCCCATAAAACATAAATAACAGGTTTAATCCCTAAGATATAAATAAGTTTGAATCTAACAATGCTCATTCTACTTTTAAAACAGTCCCAAAAATATTACTTTTTAGGTCTTTTTACTCTTGGGCAATAGCATGGAATAAAATGTCAACTTAAAATTAAACAGTGTGAAACAAAGTTTTTAGTGATATTTAAACACTTTTATATGTTGTTTCTTTGAATTCAACAGAAGCACAAACATGGTATTTTGACAGCTCACTATTGATTAAGGATATTTTACAACTTCAAAAGCTTTTTTTTTTCATTATTTTCACATCAAATTACTTAAACAAAGGTGTCTCTTAAGCATTAATAACTGCTCACTGGTTTTGGTGGTCTACTATGATGATTATAACCATTTAAGATATATTGATACTTAACTCATTTTTAAATTAAACCAGTTTCTTTTCAAGGCATTTCACAATAATAAAGGGTTTACTTACTACTGTTCGAAGGGTTCAGGTATTCGTCAACTTGTGCCTTAGAATTTAACATGCTTGTGTTTATTCACCTTAACAAAGTCTATTCTTTTGTTGAGTATTTCTTTTAACAAAAACAAAGAATTTATAAACATATATGAAAATCTTGTTTATTATCATATAAACAGAATAATATTTGTATGGTTACATTAAACTGATGAAATATTGTAACCATATAAACATGTGTTTATCTGAAAAACACGTTTTTTTTAGTTATTCAGACAGAGTACTTCTTCCAGTTATTTAAAATACAAATATATAGTTTTTTTTAATAATACTATGTATGTCCTTCTCTTTTGTCAGTGTGTTCTTGTACATTTCATATGCATCCCTCCTGTCTACCAAAGATTATGGAAATTTTGAAAATTTTGGCGTACAGTTAATTGTAAAATCTGATGTATGAGGTAGATATAGGTAATTAACTCAATTAATTGATTACCTAGGAGCACCAGTTAGTGTCATATAAAGTAACTGATTAATGTTATGAAAATTATCAACCAGTTGAAAAGTGTTTCAAATTATTTCAGCTATCCTAGTAATTAAAATAGCACCATTATAATTTCTTACTTTTCAATTAATTCAAGACTATCCAGTTTAATCAATTAGTGATAAGACTCAAGAAAATAATCAACTAATCAAAGTTGATGTTTCCAATGATTACTATTTTGGGTTATTCCATCTATCCAAATCTCATGAAAATAATCAATTAAAGAACCCAACAATTAATTGATTAATATTAGTGAGTAGTGGAATTTAACAAAGTCATTTTAAATTTTCATATTTACTTCTGACAAACAACAGCTATAAACTTTCTAACATAAATACAAGGTAGAAGCAAAATAAATATGTTGACTTTTTTGTTCAATCATTCAATTAAAAATTGGCCCAAGGTACAAAATTCTACTTCACTTCTTTACCATCACAAATTTTGTTCTAATCCAATAAATCAGAAGTAATTCAACACATACATCTTTCAATTGGATTGGTTAATTACGAACCTCTTTGAAGCTTCTTTTTTTTTTTATCAGTGTTTATCTTCCAGCTACTCTAAATCTTGTAAAAGTTTGAAATAATCAAATTTCAATATGTATGTGTGTGTGTGTGTAATTTAGTTTCTTCCTTTCACATAGACAACATGCATCTCCTTGGCTCAGAATTCAAATGATCCTTTTTTTCTGAATAAACCTATTTATAAGCCCTTTTTTTTTTCCTTTTCTGAAAATGGCAATGTAAGATTTGCTAATCATTCACTTATAATTTATCGCTAGATTTATGTTTGAAGATATTTCCTTACTATATATATATATATATATATATAGACACACACACAGCTTATGTATGTTCTTTATTATTACTAAGATTTATGTTGTCCTTTACATCTTTATGTATTGTTGAACTTAAAATTAGACTATTTATACTTCCTTTATTCTCAGGTTACCCTTAACTTTCAGTTGTATATTTTTTTTTTGTCTTTGTCTTACACTACTTTTCTTAAATGTGGTTCCTTAGAAAGTTACTACTTCAATCATCACATAATGAGCAAATAAATCAACAGAACCAATCAATTGTTCCTATCCAAATACTAAACATTTGTCACTATCTTGAAGGTTTTAATGATTAAAAAACTTCTCTACACTAGCTAAATATTTTACATTGAATACATTTTTAAAACGCTGAAATAGCAGCAGAAAATTTACTAGTTCAGAGGAAGTTTTATTTCTTTGTTGTGTTCTTAAGAATATTGAATTAAAAAAGGCTTTAATACTTCTTTCCCATTCATTAAAATGTCAAAAAAAAATGTAGCAGTTGCTATTTTAAATGCCCAATGTATAAAAATCATACTTCAATAATTTTAACAAGTTCAAAATCAAAGAATTAATCTGTATAACTTTACTCCTTTTATAATGTTTTTGTGAAAATGCTGATATTTACCTTTTGCTTGTATTTTTCCCAATTGTGTTTTTTTAAGAAGTTTTGGACCATACCTTATTTTCAATGCATACAAGATTTTCTTCTGTTCTTGGCAGCTTTTAGAGTCAACCATTGTTAAAACTACAAAAATGTACCTGACAGCCCTGTTATAATGATATATATATATATATATATATATATATAT